GTGTTTGAGGTGTGCCTCCAATTAACTCAAATGTTGTCAATTAGCCAATCAGAAGCTTCCAAAGCCATGACATCATCATCTGGGCTTTCCCAAATAGTTTGAAGGCATCTTAGTGGATGTAAACTTCTGACTTTAAAGAAAGTAATTCTTTAAAAAAAAAAATCTCTCATTATTCTGGCATTTAGCAAATAGAAGTAATTTTGGTAATTCTAACTGACCCAAAACAGGAAAAGTTTAATCTGATTTCATGTCAGAAAATTAAATTGTTCAGTGTATGTAAACTTCTGGTTTCAACTGTACATGACTCATGCACTTCCTATTAGTGGCACACAAAAGAAGGAACATATTCTCATGGTTTAAAAAAAAAAAAAAAAGGCAGGAATTCGGCTTCTCTGTGTTTATGTAGTGGGTGTGTGCTCGGCCGAGGGACGGAAAGCCCAGAGCTCTTTGCGGAGCTGAATGTTTACGTTTGAACACATGTAAAACTCTTGTCGAGACCCGGCGGCCTGTAAATTAAATCGATCGCTCAGAGTGACGACATGTTTTCGCAGCACCTTGAAACGCATACCAGTCATTTTTGGCCGCTGAGCCTCCGAGGCGTCGCCGGTCCCGAGTGACAGGGGGCACCGAACGTATGTAGGTCGCCGAAGATTCACGACTTGCGAAATTACAGAGAATGAGGAAAAAGCGAGGCGACCCAAAACTTTCAACTCCAAACAGCTGGGAGACGTTAAGACCCTCCTCAGTCACCGAAATTAAGGAACCTGAAGGGACCCGATGAAACGCTACGGAGGCGGACAAGCAAGATGCAAAAAAACAAAAAAACAAAAAGGGAAACGTGTTTTAGTGCGAGTAGGTTCAAAGGCGCCTAAAATCCCAAACAGCCCGTCCCAGTGACCGAAGGCCTCCAGCATATAGCCCAGATCTCCAGCCCCAAGCCCTCGACAGATTGTCCCACGCCTGCGACGGGTGAGAGTTCAACGCCGAGACCCGGAGAGCGCTGGGACGAGGCCATGGAGACAAAACAATCACAAATGTGCTCCTGAGAGTGCAGATCTGGACCATAGCAGCTAATATGCATCGTTAAATTAACATGAGAGCAGGAGATGCTGGAGATGATTGGTGCAAGTTGTGTCCTCCAAGTTAACCCACTGATATGACTTTTCACACTTAAAAACTTAGATTTTGGCAAAATGTGCTGCATCTCTCTTCAGGATTTGATCTGAATTTGGTCATTGGTGCTTGAAACTCTACTGTTGCTGCAAAACAACTTAGCAGGCATCTTTGCATTCTAGTGAATTGTCTTTTCTTTTGCCTGATTCTGGAGGTAAAACATCATCCGACATGCTTTTGTCGTTGTGTATGTGAGTGTCCATGGTGTCCATCTTAAAGGTCCCATGTGGCAACAGCCCGTTTTCGTAGCTGGCCACCCAGTGTCACAAGAATTTTATTCAGTTTCTACCTATAGCTTACTTTCTGGAGCTGCTTCTGCTAACTCTACAATGTCTGAGCCACGAGCAAAAAACACCAAATGTTCTGCTGCAAGAGTGAACACAAGCGTCTCTGTGCACTCCCAGCATCGGAGAAACTAAAGATCTAGTGGATTACTGTAACTGTTGATGGCAATGTCACCACAGCAACAGGAAAATCTTTAGTGTTGGTATGTTGTGCGGCTAATTTAGCTAGCATTAGCTTTGATCATCTGCCCACAGGTCAGTGGAAACTTTGTGACCGATTTGACACCAGTGAACAGGTGGAGTGGATTACTGGTGTTATTGATGCTAATGTCACCATAACAACAGTAAAAACCCTCATCGTTAGTGCATTGTGCGGCTAACGTGGCATTAGCTCTGGTCGTATGCCCAACAAGTCAGAGTTTTGTGGAAACTTTAATTTCAATAAGGACTGGTTTATTGTGTTCTCAGCCGTTGTGCTTGAGTGATGCAGCGTTTACATCTTTTTGCTTCTCTCCTGCTCCCTGGGCTCACATAAACTGGTTTTTAATACAAACGAATTCCCAATAAAGCTGTTGTCATTCACATATTTTTCAGTTTCTGTTGTCAGACAACAGCATGAACATGAAGTCGTGACTGAAAACCTGATGATGATGATGATGATGATGAATTTAGATTAAAATATCTCAACAGCTATTGCACGGATTACTGGGAAACTTTGATCATCCGTTGCAAGAGGACAGAGAGTGATCCCGTGTCGTTTCCTGTTGCCACCACCTTGAGGTTTGCAGTTTTGAGTAAAACGTCTCGACGGCTGTTTTGAATCACCGCTAAAGGTGCTGCAGACGTTCCCGGTCGCCTCAGGGTGAACTGCACAAGCTTCTCAACTTTGATTACTGACCAAATACCTGCAAAACAAAATGACATTTTCAGCCTCGGTTAGAAAGCAGTCGGTGTTACTGGAAGCTGAACCAGGAGGTGTTTGACCTCAGATCGGCAGGATAACGCGTTGGCAGAACTAAACAACTGGTAAACACGTTTAATTGTGCAGCGTGTGTTTAAATTAACCCCCAAAAAAAACATGACCGTGTACAATATACATCTTCAAACAGCTCCAGTGAATCCACATGTCTACATACTGCAGGTCTGATGGTCGGAGAGATAATCCTGCCGGTAACTGGAACCTCAGAGTCTCAAACTGAAAGCAAAACGGTGCATCAGTGCAGGATGTTTTCTGTAGTTTTTTCCAGTGACTGGATGCTTTGATTTGCTGGATTCATTTAGCTTCACCTCGACCATGAACCAGATCGTCGAAGGACACAATAATAAATAAGAAGACACAGGCACTATCCTTGAATCGGTTATTTAAAAGCGCTCCGTTTCGCCGGCTCGCCCCTTCGCCCGGGGATTGTGCTCGCTCGGAGCGAGGTCAGATTCTGTAATCACGGAAAATGTGAGTCATTATTTTGCCTACTTGCAAGGTATTTTGGAGGGTCTGTTGAAATTTCGGCTCCCCTTCAATCAAATAAACAAAAGATATTTTAAGGTTGTTTTGACTGTCAGGAGTGTTGGGAGCACGTACGCTGTGCTGCAGGGGAGGAATCCACATGTTCTCCTGCACATGTGGCTGAAACAGAGAGAAAAAAAATCAACCTGTGCAGTGGAGAGCTTTTCTAAATTTAGAATTAGAAAGTTGATCAGTTTTTTTTGTCGGTTACCTCACAGTTTGTCTTCTTTTTCCGTTGCAGGGCGAAGTATTTCAGAGGAAAGAAGCTGAACGGAGAGTACGAGATCCGAGTGGAGCAGGTAGGCCGTGTTTCATAACCATATTCTGTCTGATGAATAATGCAAAAGCTACAAAACACTCTTTTATGAATGCAGGCAGCCGTTGTTTGATTCATATTTGGAATGAGATTTACAAATTTGGGGTAAACGATCAAATGAATCCAGCTTTCATTCTTTCTTTTTTATGATTTGGCTTTATCACGCTGCGTCTCTACTCCTATCTATGGTTTTGCTGTTTCCATAGAGGTGCGGGACTTCATATTAGTCTTATTTTACGCTTTTCTTACTCGCTGCTACAGTAAAGTTTTTTTTAGATTTCAGAGTATTTTCTTTAAAAATTAACAAACAAAATAAACGTAGCAAAGATGGTTCATTTTGTCTTCAATGTACAAATAGACTTTAGGATTTCTTTGTAATATGACAAATGGTATAAAGTTGTTAGCTGTACGTTGACATGTTTCGGCGTCTTATCTGTCGCCTTCTTCAGAAGCGTGTCTTTATCAGCGGTGGCCTCTGGAGCAGAGCGTCCCAGGTGTGGGATAGAAGGAACGCTCCATCATCTCTGTTGATTGCATGCGAGCCTCGCTTCCTGATTTCATTCCAAAGAGCCATTTGGAAACAGAACATCCACACGGTGGTCAAACCATACATAAAATTAAGGCAGCTTCTGGTACATCCCAAGGACAAAATCCAGCTGCGCAGTAAATGCAATGTCATATACGAAATCTCCTGTAGAACTTGCAACAAAACGTACGTGGGCGAAACGGGACGGGCCTTCAGCGTGAGGAGGACGGAACACCAGAAAGAGTGCGAAAAAGACTGGATGTCTCATAGATCGGATAAAACAAAAGCCAACCAGGAAAACCTAAAAGCTGCCATCTCACATCACTGCAAACGGGAGAATCGTGTGATGAACTGGGAAGACGCCAGGATCATAGGGACTAAAGGGGAACAAATACAGGCGCTGGATCCAGGAGGCCATTGAAATCAGGAAGCGAGGTTCATATACAATCAATAGAGATGATGGAGCGTTCCTTCTATCCCACACCTGGGACGCTCTGCTCCAGAGACCACCGTGTGGCGGTAGGTGTGGCCAAACTGACACACCCACTGGATCTGTCAGATTGGTCACACCCAGGAACAACAGCTGATAAAGACACGCTTCTGAAGAAGGCAACAGATAAGACACTGAAACACATCAAGGTACAGTGAACAACTTTATACCATTTGTCGTATTACAAAGTCTACAAACAAAATGAACAATACATTTTTTGTTTTCTCCGTGACTGTGACTCCAAAACCCAACTGTCAAACCCAACTTTGACTTCAGAGGTACCGATACGCCCCCAATGTAGTCGAATTGCCTCTCCATCCACTATTTCTCTTGCTCCTTATGCTAAGCTAGCTACTCTAGATGTATCTCCACAAGCATCTCATTTATCTCATCCGGTGCAGTTGGGACGATATTCGGGCACATAATCACGTTTATGTGTCTAGACGGACAGCATTTGTGCGTCTAATTTACCTCAAAGAGCCGCTCGGCGGTACATGTGTAAGCCATTGTTGGGGCCGTCTTTGAAATGGGTTTTTATGGGAGGAGGGACCGGTTATTTTACAGCCTGTTTGCTCGACTCTCCGCTGTTGTGGTCACATCCTCTGTCAGGGTTTGGAGCTAAAGAGAGTCGAGACCTTTCCATGATATGCAATTTTTCTTCTTGTTTTTTTTTAAGTCTTGTGGCGTCGTAGTTATCGAATCCCCCCAAAAAAAACTGGACAGATCTGACTCTGTGGACCTAACGAGCCCCCCGAAGCTCAGCTCCGTCTTCAGCTGACCTACTTAGAGCCCGCTGGACCCTCCACTCTTTCCCAGAAGCCTTTGCATTGACGCTAACAAGCCAGTCGCTAATTGCCTTCAGCAGCCAGACTCTTCGTGGGCTGTTTGTGCACCTCGCTGGGAGCCCGAGGACGATGGAAACCCGATCTCTGTGTGAAAACTTAGCGACATGCTGCGATGAACCCTTTTAGAGGATGACAATAAAAGCAGAGAGGCCCTTTGCACTTTCTCCTCCTTTCTCCAATCCCGCTCTCGTCGGCTTTTAACGTCGTTTAGCATCAGCAAACATTTGGACGCTGGATGGTCTTTTTACAGTGAACTGCACTGATAGTGAGGCACAGCACTGATATTAACCCTCTGAACCCCAAAACACACCAGCAGCTTTGAACAACCTTCTGACTTGATAACTTCTACACCATTTATCACAGATCCCAGAAATGTAAAAGCAGAGCAGGATCTTCTGCACTTTGGCAAAAATGACCTGCACACCACTGTGTTTTGCAAATTTCTCCAGGAAGCACGTTGGAAGTTTTCTAAACAAAAAACTGTGTGTGCATGTGAACTTGGTGAATTTGAAAAATGTGCATCGATAGAAATGTCATAAAATGTTAATTCTGTGCATTTGAAATATTAAATATCACTCTAAATGTATTCTTTTCAACCCAACACCGCTGGCAGCTTTCAAGAGCGTCTCATCTTTTTAAAAAAATTTGCAAAGAAACTCGATTTTTTTAGAGCCAGAAACTAAAAACTGATTTTTAACTTTCTGACTGTCGTTTTGGTTTTGCCCAAAAACGTAACCTAAGCTTCAGATTGGGATATTTCATCAAAAGTATTTTGTCTCATTCAAAAGTTGTTTTTTTTTTAACAAATAAATGTGAATTCCTCGATGCAGCTCTGAAGCCATTAATGACTCAGCTGCACCTAACAGTCACAAAAATTCAGGAGCTTCTCGGCTGGATTTCAGGAACTGTTCAGATAAGAAACAAGTCTAGGAACAACTTTAAAATGTAAGTAGATTAATATCTATCGTTTATATTATTTTACAGGATTGGTAACAGCTGTGAGCACTCGTAAACATGTCGTACTGCTGATTTCATGATTTTTGTAAAATAAATAATAAAAAAAAATAGTAATAAATTATGGGTTTAAAACAGAAAAATAAAAATTCAAGGATTCAAGGCCTTTATTGGTCACAAACACAATTAAACAGAGTGTAACGCACAGTGAAATGTATTTTGTATTTCCAGACCGAAACATTAATAATAAGAATAAGAATAAAGAATAAAGCACACAAGAAATAAATGCATATATTGATGAATGGATAGATAGATGATAAATCAATAAATCAAAGTGTAAAAATAGTGCAAAAAATATATACGTATCTATACAATGCTAAAAGTAAACAGTTTGAAATTGGAACAGTTTTCTATAATTTAATTTTTTTTTGTTTAAAACTGAGAAACAAAAAATGCGGTAGTTTAAAAAAAAAAAAAACATGGTTCAAACAGACTAAATAAATAAATGAAATAGGTCAGTTTATTTGTTTTATGACAGAGAAACAAACAGTTGGTTGGTTTTCTATTTTTGGTTTAAAACTGAAAATTAAAATTGGGCCTATTTGCGTTTTTTTTTGTTGTTGTTGAAAATAATCAAAAACTCATCTTTTATTTTATTTATTTATTTATTTTTTTAAGAATTTAAGTTTTTATAACTTTCTTCTACTGCACAGACGACGTTTCTGACTTCTCTCTGCTTCTAGTCGTGGTTGTTCTGTTTCCATCGAGGTTCAGGACTTCATGTTGCAGTGAAAAATGAAGCAAGAGTGAGTAAAAAAAATGAGACGGGAGCAAAAGTCCGACCAGAATTTGCCCATATTATCACCTCTGCCATATTGCGGTGGTATACTGTTTGTATTACATAAACGGACGTTGGACTGGTGGCGTTGTGGGTAAACTCTCTGCTCTGGAGCCTCCGACCGTCACCACTCCTCTGCTGCCATATAAGGTGCCATCTTCAGGCCCAAACGCTCACATGTGACGCTGCAGACGGGAGGCCTGATGCCAATCTGCATGAAAGAGCAGAAGAAAGAGAGAGCGGCTTTGATTCTCGCATCTCTCGTTGCGGCCGCCACCTCCACCGTCCCCGGCCCGGCCCGACCCGGCCCGACCCGGCCTGGCCTCGTGGCTCATTCGTGTGCCCATTATTGTGGATTACTCCCTCTTATTTACGTGACCCACTTTGAAGTTACATTTGGTGGACGCCCGAGGTCCTGTGTCCACCGGGCGAGTCTGTTTTAACCACCGAGCAGATGCTCTGGGGAGCGCCGGCGGTGGTTTTCTTTGTTCTCCTGTAAGTGACGAATAAAAACAGGCTTCAAGTCGCCGAGCACGTGTTCAGCCTCTCGATGCTCCCGGTAAACACGCCGAGGTTTTCCTCACAGGTTTGATCTGTGGAATGAAACATGGAGAGGAGTTTCCAACACCAAGGCCAAATATTAAAAATATGTTCCTAATACGCCGGACAGAGCTGGGAGTTGTGCATCGGGTAATCCTGGGTGGGCTTAATGTGCAGTCACATCAGGTCAGCGCTGATATGTGGTGAGCCTCTGAGTCACTTAAATCACATCCAGAAAAACAACAACACTAAAAAAAAAAAACCCCTAGCTACTACCGTTCAGCTTCCTCTCATGTTTCCTCTCTTTTTCGTAATCCCGGTAATGTTTTAACCAGATTAGCTGCAATAACGATCCTGCAAGGCTGAATTTAGACGTGGCTCTGCTTTGAGCTAAATGCTAATGCTAACATCTAATAATAATAATTTTCCTGCAATAAAGCAAAATGACCGTTTTCTTTAAGGTCCTCTTACTTTATGTCATTGTTTAACGCAACACAATAAGAAATGGAAACAAAGGTTTACGTATTAAAGTGCAAAACTGTCTGATTAAAGTGGAAACGCCATCGTGATAAAAATAAATGAAACAGCTTATTTTTTCTTTTTTTTTTTCTTTACAGTGTCCACATCAAAAATCTGTAGTAATTTGTTGTTTTACAATGTGTGAATCAATTAGTAATTATTAAAATTACACACTTTACCTGTATGTAACTCAGCAAAAATCTTATTTTAGTTTTTCTTTAAAAAAAAAAAATAAATAAATTTTTAATATTTTTGCTTAATTTTATTTTTA